GGAGGGCCGGGCTTCCCACTTCCTCGCTAACCTCGGCCATCTCAGGTGTTCCTGTGGAGCTTAACTTCTCTGCAGGCTCCTGCCGTCCAGCAGTCTTGGGGTTTAGACAGGGTAAAGGAAGAGTCCTGAACAGGCCACGTGGCCCTTCCCCTCCCAGCCCTGCCCTCTCCCTGCTCTCCCTGGTTTTCTGCTTGCATGGTCTGAGTGGTGCACCAGTGGTGAAGAGCAGGCGACATTGTTTCACGTGAGAAAAAAATGGATCTGGGAGAAGGAAGGAAGGGCTGGAGGGGTGGGGAGGAAGGAGAAAAGAGAAAAGGAGCAGAGGGGATGAGGGGCTGCCGGGGAGTGCCAGAGAGCTGCTGGGCAGAGCAGGGGAAGGGGACCGGGGGATGGCGTCTTGTGTAGTGTCATTGCCCTTTGCTGCCTCCTCGAGGGGCCTTCAGTAAAGATGCTGATTTGTTTGTTTGTTTATTGCCAGAGGGTACATGCATTCACCAGAGAGATACGGAGAGGGAGAGAACAATTCCTTCTCCATCCTGCTGGGGTTTGGGGCACGCATGCCCGTGCACACACACACCCAGTGTGCAGAGCCCATGTTTGGCCATGGGGATCTGGCTCCTTTAACCACCAGGCTACAGGGCTAGATCCCACTTTTTAAATTAATTAAATTATAGAGCATGTGCTCACCAGAGAGGGAGAGAAAGTGAGAAATCACTCCTCAGAGGAAAAGGCCACACCACAATCCTGTCTCCTCCATTCTCTAGAGATTTTGGACACGCACACACACATACTCCCAGCTGCCGGGTCCGGAATCGAACTATGCCGTTTGTCATGTGGGATCCAGCTGTCTTAACCTCTACACCACATGACTGGCCCAAATTTAATGTTTTTAGGAGAGAGGATCTCATTATTTTGAACTCATGATCCTCCTGCCTCAGCCTCATGCATAGCTGGGATTACCAGTGTGGCTCCGAGGCTTTTTTAGACTCAGAACCATGTTGAGATGCCTCCATAGAGGGCAGTCTCCAGGCAGCCTTCTGGGTAGCCAGAGGCTGAAGGGAATGATGGGCCGGAGAGTGCAGGGGTGGAATGCAGCACCAACAGTTGCTCAGGAGGCCAGCACAGGCTTCCAACCCTAGAATCTCCACGTGGCAGCCTCCTGGTGACCCGGCATCTCCTCCAGCTGCTGGTTTCTCATAGAACGAACCAACTTCAAAGGGCTCTTACCCTCGGGAACCAGCAGTTAGCGTAATGGCTATGTCGCTGGATTCCCACGTAGTTGACCACAGTTCGCGTCCTGGACCCGGTGGCTTAAAACTCATGCTGGGCGCGTGTGCGTACGTGCCCAAGATCCCGAGAGGAGAATGGAGGAGAAGGGATTGCGGTGTGACCATCCCCCCTGGGGGTGATTTCTCGCTTTCTGTCTCTATGTCTCTCTCTGTCTGTCTGGCGAGCGCAAGCGCCCTATAGCAAAAACCTCTCAAAAAAAAAAAAAAAGCTCTTACCCTCACTTCAGGGCCAGGAAGAGGTACCCCAGTCACCATGGATGCCCTAAGCTTAAAAGATACGCATTTGATGAGGGAGTGAAGAGAAGTGGGGCCCCGGGCTCTGCCCAGCTCCTTTCTGGTCAGGCCCTCCACACCCCAGCCCCAGGTAGACTGAAACTCCCACTGCCTTGCAGCCGTGCTCATCTCAGTTCACTTCTACCGCCGGAGTTTGTACACACGCGGCCTCCCAGGAGCGGCTTCCCTCTCTGCCCTTCGAGTTCCACCTCTTCTTAGCAGTGCCCCTGGAGTTCTCCCTCCACTGGGCTCCCACGGCCTGGAGCATCTGGCTCTCTCTGGCCCTGGTCTGGAGGGTGGCTGTGGGGCATCTCCTGCGTCCTCGGCTTTCAGGCACCGAGGCCACACGCCCTGCACCCCAGGTGACAGATGCTGTCTGTCCCAGGGCGGAGCCAGTGCTAGGCTGGGCAGGCTGCACTGAAGTGCTCCCCACCCGTTTGCTAAGTTCCCCCGACCTGGCCTTCGACCTCTGGTTCAGATGGGCCTCCTCAGAGAGGTCTTTCCTGATGCCTTGGCCTGAGTCGTGGCATCTTCTGGCACCACCTCCCCCACCATACCTCCCTGTGTCACGGCCTTGACATCACTGTCAGTGTCTGTCCTGCCAGCAGCTGGGAACCTGTCTGGGCAGGGCTTTAGTAAACTTTGCTAAATGGATGCGATCTCACCCCTCTTCCCGCCCCCAGGGCTCACACTCATCCCTCAAAACCCAGCTCAAATGCCCCTTCTCCTCCTGTGTTCTCTCACCCCCGCCACAGGTGTCTCCAAAGCATGGAGCACACCCCTCCGTTAGAGTACAGGCCACACTCTGTTTCTGTGAGCAGCTTCACGTGGCCTCCTCCACTCTCCATGGCTGACTGGACACTTTTCGAGGCTGGGGCCGGCCTGTCCGTCTCTATGCCCACAGGACCCGCTGCAGAGAAATTCCGTAACAGACGATTGGTACTGAGATTCCAGGGGCTGTGAGGGACCGTCCTCCATGCCTGGCTGAGCTGAACTCAAATTCGCTGCGCGGTTTGGGGCTGGTGGGGCTCCTGGTACCCTGGCCACATGACAGCAGGACAGCTGCCCAGGCCCCAGGTGTGCCATCCAGGGGACTCAGCGACCCTGCCTCTGCCACTTGGCCGTGAGTTTCCGCATGAACTCGTGGGGCCGCCGGCGGAACTTCTCTTGGGTGAAGTAGAAGAGGATGGGGTCCAGGACGCTGTTGGCACTGGCGAACGGCCGCGTGACTTTGTAGGCGGCTGCGAACGCCTCCTGTACGTGGCAGGGGACCCTCGGGGTGGAGCGCACCCCCAGGTAAGCTGTCTTGGTGATGTGGAAAGGCAGGAAGCTGATGGCAAAGACAGGCGCCACCACCACAG